TCTTGTAACAGTGAGAGAGGAAGAGCTATTAATTTAGTGGTTAGATAAACTTTTAGCTAATAGATATTTTATTAATTTTTCTAGCATAATCAATAATTTGTTTGCTTATAAGTTCAATAGTTGAGCTCTATATATTTTATATAGATCACTAAGTTGTTTGTATAAATAACTTTAATTTCTTTCCAACATAATTTATAAATTTATAAATTAATCAAATTCAAAGAACAATTCTATAAAAATGAACAACAGAATATAGAACTAAATAAAATAAAATAGGATATAGCTAACTAGACCGTTTTAATTCTAAAATAAAAATAGAAAATAAAATAAAAATAACCATAATGCTATAAAATCATTCAAAAGCCCAAGCATTCTCTTTACGGATTTCCTCTTCTTCCTCTGGAGTAAAATCATTCTTGCTATCAAATTCTTTACGTATTTCTTCTAGTGTTTTTCATTTAATCCTATCAACAACTTCTTGACACATCATATCCAATATCTCCTTATCGTTAAGAAAATTAGCAGCTAAGATAAGAGCATGCAAAATCGAGTGGTGCACCTTCACAAAAGCCTTCTCAAACTCCAGCAACATGTCTTTGGAGACGTCTTCCTCTGAATGTTTCTTCCAGTATTCGATCACTTTGGTCATTGTTTTGCTATCGACATTAGGCAGGGGAATGACGTTTGAAACACAATCGTCTTCAACCATATTCTTGATAGTTTGTGACCTCACGGCTATCGCCTCGTCGAGTACAAATTCCTTACCATCGCAAGTCTTTAGAGTTAAGAACTTTGTTGACATGATGGTAAAAATATATTTGAATAAGAGATGTTAATTTGTTTTTGTTGAGAATATTATTGAAAGGAGATTTGAATGATTATAATGTATAAGAAGTTTGAAGCTCTTAATTTATAGAGCATTAGGTTTTCACCATCCTAGTTGAAATAGGAAGTCAAAAACAGAAAAAAAGGTTCGATAGGAAAATCTGTTTTTGCATAAACAATGTCAGATTAGGAAATTGTAAAAATTCTACTTGAATGTATGTTACCGCATAAAATTAGGAAAAGGAAGCCTTTTTTATTCTTCCAAATCTCAAATAGGAGAAAAATTATTTAGTAATCATTATGTAAGGAGCCTTTTTCTTCTACCACACATGTTTTTTTTCCAAAAAGAGTTGTGTATGTCTCATGATATTTTTGTAGTGGCTGTGTAAACTTTTAGCTAAAATTGCTTATACTCCATATTATAAATAATAGTAATAATAATAAATTTAAAAAATCTATCAAGTTTTAAGGGTAAAAATAGGCCAAAAAAAAGTGTATTGAGGGATATTTTTAGTCAAATAAATGAATGAGGGGGGTATATTTAAACATTTTTAAATAGTCCAAGTTTATTTTTGGCGCTTTTCCATATACTTTATTAATTTGACAAAAATATGTTGAGTGCTACTCCGTCTGTCAACTTTTAATTGTCGTGTTGCGCTTTTCGAAAGTTAATTTGACTAATTTTCAAAGTGAAATAAGATTACGTTAATTTGATATTTTAAACAAAAAATTTAAATATTCAAAAACTATACGAAAAAGTATTATAAATTCCAATTTTTTGCATATCACTAATATAAGTAACAATTTTGATAGTAGGAAGAGAGATAGCAAGACAAATGAATTGTGTATTGAGAAACGAAAATATCAAACAAAATCAAGGGAAAAGGTACAAGTACCCCCTAGACTATTACCAAAATCCAGAGACATACTTTAACTAAACTAAGGTCCTATTACCCCTCACCCCCCACCCCCACCCCCACTGAACCCATTTTTTTTTGTAATTTTGTACACCTTTTTGGCTTACGTGGCATCCAAATATCTCCCACGCGCTTGAACTGCGTGGAGTCACGAAGTGTGCCATATAAGCCAAAAGGTGTACAAAATTATATACAAAATGAGTTCAGGGGCGTAATAGGACCTTAGTTTAGTTAAGGTGTATCTCTGAGATTTCGGTCATAGTCTAGGGGGGTACATATGTCTTATCCCACAAAATCAAAATCTGCAACTCTAGAAAAATCTGCTTTCAAAGTAATTGATGAAAAAATGGAAATCAAAATCAAGATGAAGCAAATAGAATAGAAAGAATAAAGAAGTTTGTAAAGTTCCGAACAAGTTTCTTAAAGGATAAATTAGTAAACTCAATTTTCTTAATTATGATTTTTTTAAAAGGCTTGTAAAGAGAAAAATCTAAAAGAATAGAAATACTGAGAGGAGATCATGTAATCTAAATTTTAGGATTGTTTAGTGGAGATTTAAATTGGGTATCCATTGAAATCTGTCATTAAAATATTTTGAACCTCAAATTTAAAACTTGATTTGCCGTAAATGTGAATTAGTCATTTCTAATGAATATACAATATATAAAAGAATTGAAACATCAAAAGTTGCTCATATATATAATTTAACAATATTATTTTACGTATTATTTTGCTGAATTAGAAAAAAGTTAACAATAATATTTTTACAAGATTAGAAAAGAATAATAATTGAATATTTTAGCCTTCCAAAAAAAAGTATAACTGATTGAAATTTAAACATTTTAATTTAATAAAAATAAACATTTGATTAATTTTTCTTATTATAGATATTTAAAATAATTTCTCTCTATAAAATAATTTTAATGTTAGAAGTACATTAATAGTTGTCCTTTCCTGTAAGTTGACTCTAAAAACACTTTTTTAAAAGATTAGTTAAACGTAATTTGCTTATGAAAAGCACTTTTCAAATGAATTAGCCAAACACCAATTGTTTTTTTTTCATAGTCACTTCTCTGAAAAGCCATTTCAAAAAAGCGCTTTTAGAAAAAATGTGTTTTTAGGATCGATGCCAAACAGACTCTTAGATAATCAGGATAATGGTATAATTGAAAGTTACAAGAAAAGTTCAAAACTCACTATTTCTTTGATCATCTACTAGAAGATCAGTCATTTCTGATAGTTGTTAAATTCGTTCTGTTTAACTACATTTCTAACAAAAGTAATCGAAAAACTAAAAATTAATTAATCCAGTATTCCCCTAGGCCCTTGGTTCCATATAGTTGTCCACATTATTAAAAATAATTATCCTAAATTATTTATTAAGATAAATTGATTACATTTCCCCTACTTTACTCAGACAATTAATTCTTTTTGAAAGGGTAAGTCAGTTTGTAAAATTTCAAGCAAGTTTCTTGAAGGGTAAATTAATAAAACTAACTTTACTATTTATGATTTTTTCTTAAAAGACATGTAAAGAGAAAAGTCTAACATTTAATATAAGACGGAGGAAGTAACGTTTGTCATATTATTTTGTATGTATGTTAATTGTCCTCCAAACATGAACAATATAAGTGGAGAGACTATTCTAAATCTTATAATTTAGAGGTGAAACTTAAAAGTAATATTATTATCTTTCAACAAAAAAATTGTATTGCAACTCAAATTTAAACATTTTATATTTTAATTTAAATGATATGTTATTACTAGTCATAGTAAATTGGAATAATTAAATAGAAAGACCATTTGGTCAAATGTTCTAATTAAAAAAAACCCAATTAACAGTTAATTACCTAGAATCTCTATTTGGTCCGTCAGTAATCAATAAAACAACCATTTGATCATTAACTAATTATGTTAATGTCTATTCAGATCTTCTATGGGCACTTGGGTAAGTTCACATAATAAAATTTGACATCGCCCCAATTTGAACAATTTCGAGTGAATAATGTATCTAAAAGAATAGAAATATCGAGAGGAGATCATGTAATTTAAATTTTAGGATTGTTTAGTAGAGATTTATATTGGATGTCCATTGAAATCTGTTATTAAAATATTTCGAACCTCAAATTTAAAATTTGATCTGTTGCAAATGTGAGTTGGTCATTTCTAGTGAATATACAATATATTAAAAGAATTAAAACATCTAAAGTTGCTCCTATATATAATTTAGGACTATTTAGAGGAGATTTGAGTGAATAATGTATCTAAAAGGATAATATTTTTTTTCAAATAATATAACTAGCTTTAATTTCTTTCCAACATAATTTATAAATCAATAAAAATCGAACAACATTTCTTCAAAAGGGAACATCATAAGATAGAACTAACATAAATAAAATAAAAATAAATATAGGATATAGCTAAATAAATAACAGAAATATTATAAAATCATTCAAAAGCCCAAGCATACTCTCTACGGAACTCCTCCTCTTCCTCTGGAGTATAATCATTCACGATGCCATATACTTCTCGTATTTCCTCTAGTGTTTTCCCTGTGATTCTATGAACAAATTCTTGAATTATTACCTTCTTCAACTGCTTATCATCAAGATATCTAGCAGCCAAGACAACACCCAATAATTCTGAGTGGCTCATCTTCAAGAAATCCTTATCAAAATTCTTTAATTGATCTTTCGTAACACCTTCCTCCCAATGCTTCTTCCAATATTTAACCATTGTCGTCATTGTGTTGCCATCAATATTAAACAAGGGGATGACATTAGAAGTACAATCCACGTCTTGTACTATATTCTTGATGACTTCTGACCTCACAACTATAGCCTCATCGAGTTTGAATTCCTCACAATCGCTAGTCTTGAGAGTTATGAGTTTTTCTGAAGACATGACAAATAAAATGAAATGAGCTATGAATGAATGATTTCAATACATGAAACTCGCTTGGTCTTTTATAGTGTATTAGGTTTTAATTACTTTCCAAAGTGTAACGGCCCGAACTGTCGTTATTTAGAAAAAGAAAAATTTGGAAAATAAAATTCTAGGCCATTGTCCTGCCAAAGCAGGCATGTTGCCGCTGGGGCGGCGGCGCCAGGGCAGGATAGGCGAGGCAGAACGTAAATTATGAGAATAACTATTTTCTTCATCTTCCTAAAATACCTAAATAAGTCGTAAAACACCCTAGAAACTTTAGAAAAGCTTATCTAAGCTTGGGAAGAAGGGAGAGAGATTTCTAGCGTGAAGATGTCGATGGATTGCGAATTTCCGGTCAAGATCATCGTCACGAATTCCAGAAACAAGAATCAAAGACCAAAACTTCGTGCTGTGGCTTGGCGCCCAGGTAGGCTAGGTTTAATGAATTGAGTAGTTTAAATCTATGCTCATTGCGTAATATATGTGAATCGATGGTAGGATTTATTCGTAGGACTTTGTGCACTGAATGATTATTGATTTAAACTTTAGAAAGAAGCCTTAAACGATGAATTAGGGTTGAGTATGGTCGAATTAGGGTTGCATAAGGTGTGTTGATGAATAATCTGTTGTGAAGGGGGGTGATTCCATGATTTAGTGATGTATGTTGTTCTTTTCATTATGATACGTGTGGGTATACGAATGTCGCATTGTTGATCACACTTGCTGTAAATAAGGATATGTGAATGACGAATATCATGGGTCATGAATTATTTTATATGATTATGAGGATATACTAGTGATTGTGATTATGATATGTTGAATGGATCGGTTGCCACGTTCCGGCATAACTAACTTGGATCGGTTGCCACGTTCTAGCATAACTATGGGATTGGTTGCCACATTCCCGCATAATTATGGGATCGGGTACCACGTTCCGGTATGCTAACTGTTTGGGTTTGGGTTCTATGAGAGGACCAATGATTTGCTTAATTGTGTAGGGCGAGGAATGTGAAAATTTATTGTTATTCCTCATGCGATAATTGATAATGTATATGTTTCATATATGTATGTGATTATATTGTTGTATTGGCTTATATATGTTGCACTTAGAGGTATAGGTATGACAACTTATATTGATGGTTCTTCATGATGAGCGATCCTGTTGGGGATAGTGGAAGGATAAAGTGTTCAGGGGCAAGTAATGGATAGCAAGGGTTGTTCGGGTGTCGTAATGGTGAGAAATAGAGGTAGTGTATGTGATGAAATATGCTTAGGTGGATTTCCCCTTGGGGGAAAGAGATTGGGTTTAGTGGTAAGGAAGTTGATGTAGTGAACTAGGTGACCATGGTTGAGCAGTGTGATGAGGAAGTAAGGGTGCAAAGTGAGTGGTTAGTTGGAATGCTTGTGGGTGATATTCGGGGACATCCGATAAAATTAGAACGGTTAGGCTATGATCAAGAACCTAGTGTAAATTAGAGGTATCTTAAGAGAGGGTAAAGGTGGAGAAGCTAGTGGTTTATGTTATGATCTTACTAGTTTGTTTTTTATGTTATGTGGTAGGCGTCGGGTTAACTGATGATCCCTACCAGTACGTGTGTTTTGTACTGATGCTACTCTTGCTATGTCTTTTGACATAGTCTGGATGCAGGCTGGTGATGTTTCATTAGGTGAAGACGCGGAAATTCTCCAGCAGCTTCTATTCTTCCTTCCGCATGGTGGGAGCTGTGTCTTTTGTTTATCTTGTCCAGATGTACTCTTAGTAGCTCTTGTACCTATTTAGACTAGATTCTTGGGAATTGTTAAATTACTTTACAAAGTTTTAACCAAAAGTGTGTCTAAGGATATATCATATTATTATATTTATCTCTGTTTTCTTTTAACTTTCCGCATGTTTAACTATTGGGATATGAGGGTTCTCCTACTTAGGTGTTAGAGTGGATGCCCGCACGGCCCGGTGGGTTGGATCGTGACACAAAGTTGTGGTAGGAATATGGAAAGCAAAAATATCACATAGACCTAAACTTATTATTTTTCCTTTTTTGAAGTTTAATTAATTTGCTTTGCAAAATCTAGATTATTCTGATAATGATATAATTAAAAGTGACAAGAAAAGTTCTAAACTCATTGTTTCTTTAATCATTTACTTGAAGACCAGTCATTTCTGATAGTTGTTAAAATCACTCTGTTTGACTACATTTTTTATACAAGTAATCGAAAAACTAAAACAATAGAATGACTATTTGATCATTTACTGATTATGTCTATGTCTACTCAGATCTTCTTCCAGCAATTGGTTAAGTTTAAAGAAATAAAATTTGACATCATTGCAACTATAAATTATTTTGAGTGAATAATATATCTAAAGAATAGAAATATTGAGAGGAGCTAATGATATCTATATTTTAGGATAGTTTAGTGGAGATTTGAGTCAGATGTCCATTGAAATCATTCATTAAAATATTTTGAATCTCAAAATTTTAAATTTGATCTACCGCAAATGTAAATTGATCATTTCTAGTGAATATGTAATATATTAAAAGAATCGAAACATTGAGATTTGTTCATATATATAATTTAGGACTATTTAGAGGATATTTGAGCTAGTCGGTATTGAAAAAAAATTCAACTCGTGAGGAAGATGTGTTGTAATTTATAAATATTACATAAATATGTTTGTGATTATTTATACATATCTAATTTATACTTATACATCATACATATATACAATCTTAAACTATTTATAAAATATCGATACATTACATATAAATATAGTCATTTAATTAATAAGAATTTTGTCAATGATACATTTACTTGAGAAGGCGTAGTAAATTTTGCCCTAAAATTTTGAATATTACTGATATTTTTTTCATACAATTGTAATAATTGATTTCTGCTATTGTAATATTTTAAGCTCTTCCACTATTACCTTGCAAGATGCACTATATATTGTGCAAAATGAAAGATGATACATATATACGTTCCTCCAATCATTTTTTTTAGTTTCTTCACTCAGTATTTATTATCCGCATTAAAGTTTAATTAATTTGAATTTGCACCAAGTAGGACCTCACTCGGACTATAGCGCTTCCTACTAAGAATTTTTCTATACAGACAGTTTTTTTAAGCTCTAGCACCAATTAACATTATTAATAAATTTTTAAAAGTGACATGTAGATCAACATAACATTGTATTAAAAAAGAAACTCCATTATGTTTCTCTCTTGTTTTTTAAGTTTTAAACTTTAATAATCTTTTAAAGAATTTTTTAATATTTAAAACATTTTTGTTGTTTTATGAGTAACTTTTAAAAAAAACTGTGTGAAGAGATTTTTCAGTATTTAAATTGTGGTAATTAATTGACAAAATATATCAAGTCCATTGAATATTCAGGAGGAGTTGACCAAAACAAGCTATTTTTTTATTCAATTCACCAAAGTAATATGAAACTTTAAAATTTTACAAAACTAGTATAAACGTTGTTGGTAGTAACGTATTAGGCTTTATTTCATTTTAAAAAATAAACGGACCAAAAATATTTTGTAGACGGCGTTAAAGAAGATTTACATTACTAGCAGTAACGTTTTAGGTTTAAAATGTTACCATCAGTAACGAATCTCTGCAAATCTGCCACTTTCGAATCTTTCTACCAAAATTCGTTATTACGAAGCACGTTTTAATGGTAAAACGTTACTCCTGGTAACGATTCTGTCCAATCAAATCACGTCTCCCAACTTAGAATCTTTGTACAAAATCTGACGTTAAAGTCGTTACTATGAGTCACGTTTTAAGACTAAAACGTTACTATGAGTAACGATTCTATCGAATCATGTCACGGGGCTCTAGAGATGTCTTATTGATTTGATCTGCCAATAAAACGTTACTATATGTTACGTTTTAACTTTAAAACGTGACTAACAGGAACAGCAAACTGTTAAAGTGTTCCTTTTACAATTTGACCACGGATCATTATAAGAAATGGTGGTGTAGAATGTTTATCACATTCCAATAATTTTCTACAAAGCTTCTGTTTTTGTGCCCCATTGTTGAATCAATACTCACAAAATTTTAATAGGTAAGTCTTGTCAATATGTTGTAATGTATTTATAAAAGCATATTTTTAATAACTATAATGCATCTTATTTTTGTGTGTAGGATTTTTGATGGCTGATTTTGAAGATAACGTGATGATTGCTTTGTATTGGGGTGGTGAAATAATCACTGAAATGAATAAATTTCGATATAGCGAATGTGCAAGAATGATTGTAAGCATGTCTATTTCGACCAACTACGTTGAATTAATTAAATTGTTGCATGAGAAAATGGGGACTGATGGTGAAAATATTCAATTGGATATTTCTGGAAAATATCCATGCTCATTTCAAGGTAACATTACAAGATTTATTGAGTTCAAAATTGAGAATGACCAATCTTTGCTACAATTTTTTGCCATTCCTCAGAAATTTTTGAACAAGATTGATATAAATCTTTTGGAGATGTATTTGCCACAATCAGTCAGCCTCATTATGCATACAGTGCAACACATGGTATCCATCAATCATTTGGTGTAGGCCTTAACGAATCGATCATTTGTTGAATGCTCGAGTAGTCAAAGACATATTGAGAGTAGCCACAATTAATATGAAACCAGGTAGAGTAATCTTTTCATATAAAAAATACTAATTCTATTTAGTAGCATGAATAAT